TTATATAAATTTCTCTTTTATTTTAACTAATATTTAATAACATCACTATAATCATTATTGTTGTTGTTTATTGTTCTGATCATCATTTACATATGTATATATAGGAATAAATGTAAAAGAAAAATTTAGACAATTTTCAAAAATCATGTGACTGTAAAATTTTTATTGCATTTTTGATTGGAAAATTTTTCTCAAAATTGGCGGCGTTGCACGGAAAGTTGTGGGATTAAGTGACTTGCACTATAGAAGAATGTCATTTGTTTGAATGTTGGGTTTGTGCTTTATCTATTGGGAGTTTCTAGGTTGATTAGGAAACTAAATTAGAGGCACTAGATTTTTTTAATCACAACTACATTCATTATCTCAATAATACAGTTGTGGCATTTCATCATTTTTGAAATGTTCATTTAGTGTTAGTATTAGTTGTGGTGTGTCCCATATATAAACCAACATTACTTTTAATAGGCAAGAAATTTATATCAGGACTTGATGAATAGAAGAAATAGATTAGAGGTATGATTCACTATAGATTTCCTCTTTTCCAATCAATGTTGACTACTAAATACTTATGTGTGTATGCGTGTACCTGCAATGTGAGTGTTCATTTAGTTGAGTTGAAAATACAACGAAAAACTTAATCCATTTTTATTTGAAGAAATTGAATATATTGATAATTTTGAGAATGTATTCTTGTTAATAAATTTCTTTGGATACTTTATTAATAACCAAATGACTATCCTAATATTAAATCTAATTGAATAATAATAATAATAAATAAAATAAATGAGTACAACCACTACTTTTTAAAAAAAATTTTCAAATAAATATTTGATTATTTGGAAACCAAATCGAAGCTCCAATCATCACAGCTTCGAAAAGACGCGTCGTGATATATACACACATATACCTATTGTGGGTAGACTCTTAAGTAAACTCTCGGCATAGCGGATTTCAAGCATCAACGGATTTTTTGAGTCCATTGTAATAATAATAAGAAAAATTACATTCCGGTGAGCGACAAATTTTGATGGTTTTAAAACATACAAGAAAATGATCTTCCTCTCTATATAATGCATAATATAGAATTTTGATCAAGTCTATCAAAAAAAAATTTTCTTTTAAAAAATAAAAAAATAAATGAAATTTTATTATTATTAATGTAACGGTAACAAAGATTTATTATTATTATTCTATTTGACTATATTTATTCGTGTCACTTTTTAATCACGTGTTATAACAACAAAAGGTTTTTTTGGTTTCTTTTTCACTACATTTATCAAGTTTTATTTTATTTACTAAAATCAAATCTACATAACCAAAATTTCAAAATGTCTAGCGCTGCAAGCATTTTATTAAAACAATTTAAAGGTTTAATAATTCTTATGTTTTTTTTTCTTCTTTAATATCGATAATAGTTTGTTAATACGTATATATTCAAATTATTTTAAACCGATATTTAGAGCTTACACGTAATCCAGTACCTGGTTTTACTGTAGCATTGCAAGATGAAGGCAATGTTTTCGAATGGTATAAATTTTTTTACCATTTAATAAAGAAATATTGACATTTATAAATAATTACTTTTGTGCAATTTTTTAGGGATGTAGGCATCATAGGAGCTCCTGGTACAATATATGAGGGCGGTTATTTCAAAGTATGAAAATTTCTTGATTTATTATGGATGTGTTTTAATATAATTTTTTGACTTATATCCATTTTCATATTATATAACAATAGGCATCACTTAAATTTCCAGTAGATTATCCTTACAATCCACCAACATTTAAATTCAAGAAAGATTTTTTCCATCCAAATGGTAATCAATTGTTATATATATATATATATATATATATATGTATAAAAATTTTTTTTTGGTAAATATTATTAGATGAATACTTAATGATTTTTTCTGTATAGTTTACACGGACGGTAAATTGTGTATATCAATTCTTCATCCACCAGTAGAAGATCCAACTAGTGGTGAAACTGCTGCAGTAAGTTTATTTTATCTTATAAATACTTATAGTGTCAACAATATTATGACAATTTGATCTAAATAATTTTAAATAGGAACGTTGGAATCCCACTCAATCTGTAGAGAGTAAGTATATCATTAAAATTGGTCGAATTATTTAAAAAATTAAAATTGATTCCAAAATTTCTTATTTATTGTCATTTAGGTATTTTGATTAGCATTGTTAGTCTTATGGGAGACCCTAATTGTTCTAGTCCTGCTAATGTGGTAATTATTTGATATCAATTTTTTTATTGTTGTTTCCAATTACTTTCATACATTTTTTCATCATCATCTTAAATGGAACAAATAAACATAGGATGCAGGTGTAAGTATTTCATTCAAGATATTCATTATTATCATCATCATCATTGTTGTTGTTGTTGTTATAGTTAAATAATTAAAGCAAAAATTTTTTTTTAAAGGTTATGTACCGAAAAGATCGAGATACATATAATAAAATTGTAAGATGTATGTATATTTGATTTTCTATAAAGATAAGAGTTTTATTTTATAAATTATTTTAATTACAAATTTTTTATGATTATTTATAGCTCAAGTCGAGACTTCAAAAAAAGATATTCCAGAAGGACTGAAAATACCCACTAGTGGTAATATATTTAATTCTCGTTTTGTTTGATGGTTTGGTTAAACAACGATACAAATTTTAATATAACAATTTTATACAGCTGATGATTTCATTGTCCAGAAAAAAAACGTTGAGGATGATCAAGATGAAAATTTTTGGTACGCATCAGATGAAGATGAAGATATAGAGGAAGATATAGAGGAAGATATGGAGGAAGATATGGAAGAAGATATGGAAGAGTATGGATCGTCTGAAGAAGATAATTAAAAATTGCAACCGATATAAAAATTCTTTTTTTTTTAATTTACAACACATATATATATGTGTGTGAAGATTTGTGCCCATAAAAAACATTTTTTTCTTATTATTGCTATTTTTTCTTTTTAATATTTGTAACATAACATAACTTCCTTTGGATTTCATAAAAATTTTTTTTACGCGCGATGTTTTTTACTTTCTGGACACATTTTAGAAAGAAAATCTTATGACTTTTAATATAACAAGGAATTCAATGTACAACAAATAGAAACAAATCAAATAAAAATAACTTTTTAAATTTAAAATATAAAAAAATTTATTTATTTATATAAATATTTTTATATGAATCATACAGAATTTTTTTAAAATCATGTTATGTTAATTTTACGAACAATCAATAAAAATTATTTCCTATTATATAAATAGTAATTTTTATCTTAAAACCTTTATGCCTTTTGCTTTTCACGGCGTCTGTTAGTTAAATTGAGGGGAAAATATTAATGATGATAAGATCAAATCATTACAATCCAAGATACATAACATTAATTTACAAACCTGTCACGTTCTTCTGCAATGGTAAGTTTAACACCTTTACCCTTTGGTAAGGAAATCCAGGGTTTATTACCCTCACCAATAATAAAAATATTGCTTAGACGTGTAGCAAATTGTCGTTCAAGCGAATCTTTTACATGCACGATATCAAAACCACCAATATGCCTTTCTCTATGACTAAAGCAGAAATTAAAAAAAATTCTATTTAAATTGAAAAAAATTATTCAAGGATAAAGAAATTATTATAATTACGTGATTATACCAACTCTTCCCATGTTTCTTCCGCCAGTTATCATCACAACATTTCCAACTTCAAACTATTTTTATTTTAGAAAATGAGACATTATACAACCTCGCCAAAACTACCACGAGCTTTTCCTTTTAAAACAATCAATTACCTTAATAAATTCAGTTATTTTATAACTTTCTAGGTCAATTTTAACTGTGTCATTTACTTTAATAAGAGGATCTGGATATCTTATGGTACGTCCATCGTGTGTAACAAGAAATGGAATCCCTTTTGCACCAAGTTGAACTCTTCTAACTTTTGCTAATTTGTATTTGGCTTCTTCTGCAGTTATCCTATGGATGGTAAAACGTCCTTTTGTGTCATATATTAATCGGAAATTTTCACCAGTCTTTTCAATAGCGATAACATCTTTTTTTTTCGTTTAATTGTTAAATTAGTATAAAATTTTAATAGCAATAAAATAAGTTAAATTAAACCAGTAGTTACCCATGAATCCAGAAGGATAAGTAGTATCAGTACGTACTTTACCATCAACCTTCACGAGACGTTGCATCAAAATACTTTGTACTTCTTTCTTATTAAGAGCATACTTGAGACGGTTTCTTAAAAATATAACAAGCGGTAAGCAATCACGAAGCTTATGAGGTCCAGGTGATGGTCTTGGTGCCTATTTAGTAATAATTGATAAATTGGTTTTAATATTATCAGGAGCTTTTACCAATCAAAGAATGCTTACATAAGTTCCTGTAAGTTTGTCTAGCATCCAATGTTTTGGTGCATTAAGGCGTTTTAAATGTTTTTTTCGTCCACGGGCCTAACAAAAATTCAAGTTTATTAATGAATTTTGTGATGATTGTTTTGATTATTTCGATTATTTAGTTGTATCGATTGATGAAAAAAAAATTTCTAACAATTGTTAACCTACCATTAATAAAAATTAAAAATTATTAATAAAGTAAAAAATTTCAGATTTTTTTTTTAAAAAAAAAAAACTATATATCAGTAATTTTGGTAACACAGATCTCTATTCTTCATTACCGATAAAAAAATTTCGAACAAATTCACTTGTACTTGGTTTAACCTTTGATCCTTTGATCAATCCGGACTCAGATTTTTAAGTTGTCCGGTTTCACAGATTACGTTCAAAAATTATTTTAAAAAAAATCATTTTTAAAAAAAATGGCTAAAGAAACAGTCAAAACCGTTGTACCATCAGAGGATACACCCAACAAAGATAAACAAAAGTTAAAAGAAAAAAATGAGAACAAGGCAGATGCTGAGAAAGACAAAAAGGACGAAGAATTGGTAGGCTTTTAATATAACCTTATTCGAGATCAAAATTATTATATCTTGATATATGTTGCTAATTTTTCATACTATATTTTTCACGCTGAAGTCAGAAGAAGATCTTCAGCTTAAAGATGAATTAGAATTGCTGATTGAAAGATTGAAGGTATCAATTAAACCATGTCGAATTCGTTTGATTGAAAAATTTGTAGGAAGTTAATGTTTTAATTTTTTTTGACTATATTGTCAAGGAGGAAAATGTCGATCTTCATAGACCGGCTTTGGAGAGCCTTCGTGTTCACATTCGAACATCTACTAGTTCTATGACCTCCGTTCCAAAACCATTAAAGTTCTTGAGACCTCATTATGCAACCATAACTGAGATTTACCTAAGTTGGCCAGAAAGTGATAATAAAGTAAACTTTTTTTTTAATAATGATTCATATAATTTATAATAATTGTTTTAATTTCCAAATATTATTATTATTCTTTTTTTTTTAAAAAAATAGCATTTTTTGGCTGACATTTTGTCTGTATTGGCAATGACTTATGACGAAGGAAAAAGAGATTCATTGAAATATAGATTAGAAGGATCACGTGAAGAACCTGGTTCTTGGGGACATGAATACGTACGGTATGATATTACCCTATTATTAGAAATACTCTTTTTATTTTTATTCTTACAATATATTCTTAATATATATATATATATATATATATATACATATATTAATAATAAAAAAGGCACTTGTCAACTGAGATTGGACAAGAATTTTTATACCGTCAAGAAAGTGATAAACCCACCGAAGATCTCATGAACCTTGCATTAGAAATTGTTCCTTTCCTCTTAAAGCATAACGCCGAAGCTGATGCTGTTGATTTATTTTTAGAGCTGGAGGCAATTGACAAATTACCACAATTTGTAGATAAAGATACTTATCCACGAGTGTGTCGGTACATGGTTAGGTATAGATTCAAATTTAATTAATTAGTTCACAAAGATTTTTGTTTTAATAATCTGGTACTAATTATTTTACTTGATTAAAAAGCTGTGTAAATTTGTTAGTCTTTCCTGATGATGTTTCTGTTCTAAAAACAGCCCATCAAATATATTGTCAACACAACAAATTTACCGAAGCAGTATCCCTTGCTATTCGACTAGGAAATGAAGATTTAATAAAAGAAAATTTTGAAGCAGCTGGAAATTTTGACCCGTAAATAAATCTATATCTATGAAATTCTTGAAAAAACGGTTTATTTGAATGACCATTAATATTTTTTTTTTTAAAAAAAAAAACAAGCCTCTTGCAAAAACAAATAGCTTTTCAATTAGCAAGACAACATATAACTTTGCCAGTTGATAATGAAGAACTTCTTGAAATAATTAATAATACTCATTTATCAAAACATTTCATTGCTTTAGCGGAGGAATTGGATGTAATGGAACCAAAGACTCCAGAGGATATATATAAAAGCCATTTAGAAAATATTCGTAAGTATAAAGTAATCATATTTCTATTCCATGATTCTCATTACCTTAATAATAATAATTAATTTCTTTTAAGGTCCTGGTTACACAAGTGGAAATGTTGATTCTGCAAGACAAAATTTAGCTTCAACATTTGTAAATGCATTTGTAAATGCAGGGTTTTGTACCGACAAATTAGTATCCATAGAAGATGGAAATGCGTGGCTTTTCAAAAATAAAGAACAAGGTGTGTAAAAAAAAAGAATCTTTTTTAAAAAAAATATAGTTTAAATTTCCATTTATTCTCATCGTACTATTATAGGAATGTTAAGTGCTGCTGCCTCGATTGGTTTGGTTACATTATGGGATGTAGACGCTGGGTTAGTATGTATTGATAAATATTTATATTCTAAAGAAGACTATATTAAGGTATAATAAAAATCCTTTTTACTTGTAAAATGATCAAAATCTACTTTTTTATTATTAAATTTATGGACTAATATATGAATAAATCTAGGCAGGTGCTCTTCTTGCAATAGGATTATTTAATACAGGAGTACGTAATGAAAATGATCCTGCATTTGCATTACTTTCTGAACACATCGAGTCTCCAAATCTAAATATGAGAATATGTGCCATTGTTGGGTAAGTGTTGTATTCAACATTGTTTATTTTTGATCAAATTTTAAATTTTACTAACATTAGTTCAATCATTAATAAAGTCTTGGAATGGCGTACGCCGGCTCACATCGGGAAGATATTCAAGATATTTTATTACCTTTAGTTAGTGACACTAATCTAAGCATGGAAATAGCATCAGTGGCAGCTTTGTCTCTAGGGTTGATATTTGTTGGAAATTGTAATGGTGATATTACAAGCACAATATTGCAAACTATGATGGAACGAGAAGATTCTCAATTGAAAGAAATATGGGGCAGGTTTATGGGACTTGGTTTAGCTCTTTTATATCTTGGTATTTATTTTAATGTATTTTATTCCAACAAGTTTTATCAATTATCTTATATGGTAGTAAAAATCCTATATTCTCTTTTTATATATTAACTTATTCGTAGGAAAACAAGATGCAGCAGAAGTAACATTAGAAACTTTAAAGGCAATCGAACATCCTATCAGTAAACAAGTGGAAGTTCTTGTAGAAATTTGCTCATATGCAGGTGTATATATATATAATTCATAAAATAATGGTGATTATATGTTTAAAATAAAAGTTATTTTAACAATGTAAAACTTTGCTTTAGGAACTGGCAATGTACTTAAAGTGCAAAATATGATGCATATTTGCGATGATCATTTAGATAAAGAGAAAGATGAGGATTTACATCAAGCATTTGCAGTTTTAGGTGTAGCTTTGATTGCCATGGGTGAAGATATTGGCGCAGAGATGGCATTAAGAATGTTTAACCATCTGGTACGTCATGCATGATTGTAACTATAAAAACATATTTAAAAAAAAATTTTAACGTACTTGTTTAAAATAGATGCATTATGGAGAGCCAGTAATTCGTCGCACGGTTCCCCTTGCCTTGGGTTTACTTTGTGCCTCAAATCCTCTTCTAAATGTCCTAGAGACATTAAGTAAATATTCACATGACAACGATGCAGATGTTGCCATAAATGCAATATTTGCTATGGGACTTGTTGGAGCTGGAACAAATAATGCACGATTAGCACAAATGTTGAGACAACTCGCATCTTATTATCATAAAGATGCTAATTGTTTATTTATGGTCAGAATAGCACAGGTAAAATATTCTTGGATTTATTATTTATTATTTTGTATCTATTGCAATGTTAAAGGAAGTTAATTATTTATCGAATTGATTTGTTTTAGGGTCTATTACATATGGGTAAAGGAACCATATCAATAAACTCGTTTCACTCTGACAGACAATTATTGTCACCTGTAGCAATAGCCGGAGTTTTAATAACTTTAATTGCTTTTACAGACACTAAAACGCGTAATTTATTTATTATTACTATAATTATTGTGTGAAAAGTTTTACTATTAAGATAACTAATAAAACTAATTTATTAATTTACAGTCATACTGGGCAAATATCATTGGTTTTTGTATTATTTGGCAACAGCAATGTATCCTAGATTCTTAATTACACTTGATGAAAATTTAAATAGCTTACCTGTCACAGTTCGTGTAGGACAGGTAATATTTATTAATCATGTATTTAAGTAATATATCTATATGTTAAATTTTTATTTTAATTCCAAAAATTATAAAGGCAGTTGATGTTGTGGGACAGGCCGGTAGACCCAAAACGATTACGGGCTTTCAAACACATTCAACACCAGTGTTATTGGCACATTCCGAACGTGCAGAACTAGCAACAGAAGAATGTATCCTTTATTATTTTTGTTGCGAAGATGTTAATTTTGTTTGTTATAATTATCATAATATTATCACCTTAACTCAAAACAAATCTTTAGATATATCATTATCTCATATTCTTGAAGGTTTTGTTTTGCTTTGCAAAAATCCAGATTTTATGGAAGAAGATAAAGAATAAATATTTCCTTTGATAAATAAATTTGTATAATAATATTAAATAATAAAATTATTTAATGATTACATTGATTACATTAAGCATTTATAAAGTGTCCATGTTCAAGATTAAAAATTTTCGCGTCAAAAAATTTATCTAGAAATTTCTGAAGATCATCAGCACTACCAATAATAATCGCGTATTTCTTCTGGATAGTCTAGTGTTTTCCAGCTTTTGCAAAAAAAAATTTTTTTCAGAAAAAAAAATTTTAAATCTTATTTTATTTATAATAATTCTATTAAAAGTTATAATGAAGAATGTTTGGGATCTTGAAGAAGTAGTTACTACGCCCAATTTAGCTCTTAGGTTACATTCCAAAATTATAAAGCAGATAGCACAATTTTTAGAGTCACAACTAGATCGATACAACTTATGTTTAGTTAACAAGACATGGTCACCAGTAGCTAAGAGTGTGTTGTGGTCAGAGCCAAATTTCAAGACACCGGATTCTCTTCGCTTTTTTCTACGAGCAGTTAAAGAATCAAGACAATGCGCTTTAAGAGTTCAATCTCTTAATCTATGTGCACCAGAGGAAAATATCACTAGCGACATTTTCCTACCTGTATTAAATTCCGAGCGACAAGAGCATAAAATAATGTCAACCTATGTCATATCAAGACCAAATTTCATATTAAATCTTGTAAAGATATGTGAAAATATACAAAAAATTAAAGTTTATGGATGGAATTTATCTGATAATCATCTACAATCATTATCACAAAATTGTCCAAAACTCAAGGAAATTTTAGTGATTGGCTGTAATACTAATATCAATAATGGTAATGATGTTAATAACAATAACAATAATCAAAATCAGGATCAGAATCAGAATCAACTGATAACTCACAAGGCATTCTATTCATCGATAAATTATATGCATGATCTTTGTGTGTTGGATTTAGATGGTGATTTTAATCTGTCTGATGGCTTTGCAGAAATACTACCAACCAGATGTCCAATGCTTGCTTCACTTAAACTTTCGACTAAATCAATGACGGAAAAAGGATTTGATTCACTAGCAAAAAAATTTACTAAACTTACTAACCTAATATTACAAAATTGTCCTCATCTTATCGATGAAAACATTGAAAGTTTTGTTAAAAAAAATCCTAAACTACAAAAACTTCAATTATTAAGTAAAGGCCTTACTATCAAAACATTTCAAGTGGTGATATATTATGCAAAGGAACTAGTATATTTTGATTTTAGATGCTTACAAGAAGAAATTAGTATTTTACCAAACGAGATGCAATGGTTAAGGCCAGTTTGTCATAATTTGGATACACTTATACTTGAAAATTTACCAATTGATGACCATATAATTTCAACTATCGTTATACATTGTAAAAAAATGAAAAATATTGGGCTTTCAAAATGTTCAAATATAACTGATGATTCGATCAATAGCATCGCATCTAATCAGAAAAAACTTTGTTTGATAAATTTAGTTGAGTGTAGGAACATTACAGATCTCTCTCTTAAATATTTAGGTGGTGGTGGAAATCAAAATAGTAATAATAATAATAGTAGTAGTAGTCATTCAATTGCACATGTTATTATAGATTCATGTGGTTCATTTGCACCAGAAGCTATACATTGGTTTGTCAATGTTTCACCAAAACTCGAAAAAATAATTTTGCATGGGATGCCATCAATCATCAATTCTTTTATCTATCAATTTTCTGCAGAATATCAACAAAAAAAGCAACAAAATGGAATATATAATTCAATTGACGCTAAAGCAAAATGCACTGTTGAAAAAGAGAATATAAAAAAATTGGCAAAATTCCAATTGAAACATTTCAATGGCAATTCTATAGCTCATTATGACAATGATGATGACAATAACAGTATTGATGATGACTATGATGACGATGACAAAATTTTATTATTAAAATTTTCAAAAGATAAGCTCATTAAATTGTCGTTAGAATTGGGTTTACCTACAAATGTTATTGATCGTGCCTTTAAAAAAGTATTTTCTGAAACTAACAATTATCAAGACATTTCAACCAATAAAAATAAAAATAGAAATAACAATAACAAAAATGATAAATTGCGGAATGGTGAAAATTTACAAAAAATATCAGATACAAAACATACTTTTATCACCACCGCCACTGCAACCGCAACCACATCTTCAATTCCTGCATCAGCGCAACATCGACATGATTCGTGGACTACAGTTATTAAAAAAACACGAAGTTGTTGGTCATCAATTAATATAAAATTACCTAGTCTTCACTGTCCTCCACCTCCAAAACAATTACTAAATCCATCAACACCATCATCGTACTTTTTACCAATACCCAATAATGATAATAATAATATTCAAAAAGAGAAAAAAGGATACCGTAAAGAAGTTGCACAGAGTCGGTCAATTTATGATAATAATAATGATAATGCAGTAGAAGTGGGTAACGATAAGCAAGTAAATAATGAATTAAAATCAACAACAATAAAAGGATATAAATCGTCATGGAATAAACCTGTTGGAGGTGAAGATGATTTAGGTGGATGGGCAGATTTTGGAATCCAGTCATCAAGACATGACTATAACAATAAAGATAAAGATGCCGTTGTTGTGGACTCCCATCAACAAAATATTTCCAAATTATTCATCTCGCCTGACTCCATTAACAATGATTGTGATGTTAATGATGATAAAGAAATATTAGTTGATATTGGTACTTGGGATAGTTTAACTACTGATACAACGAAGACCACATCTTCTTCTTCTTCTTCGTCATGGAGTAATCAAACTAAATTGTTAAATGATGTAAAAATCAATAAAAAAATCTCAGAACCGGGATCAGTAATAGATATGATTTGGGATTCCAGTGCAACTGAACAATCAAACTCTGACAATACAATTGAAGTCGAAGAGGAGGAGGAATCGATTAAAAAGAGTGTTTACTCTAAGAATAAAAATGAAACGATGACAGTTGCTAATAATAAAAAAGTTGTTATTGATGATGATGATGATGAAGGATGGGGAACACCACCTGAAAGTGCTATTGCATGGAATGATCCTCGACAAGGGTATTGTTTAGAAATGATCGAAAAACAGAATAAAACAAAATTTTGTGTTCAAAGAAAAAATGGAAGAGATGATAATGGCGATGATTATGATTATGATTATGATTATGGTTATGATTATGATTATGGTTATGATTATGATTATGATTATGATTATGGTCGTAGTATTAATAGTAGTATTAGCGGTGGTGGTGGTGGTAATTCAATCAAGAAAGTGGCAACATATTTATCATCGTCGTCGTCGTCATCGTCATCGTCATCATTGAATAATAATAAAGATTATTCGACGTCAACTAAGCCAAGAAAACCCAATAATAATGGTAGCTTTCGAAAAGAAGAATTGAATAGAGGGACGAGAGGAGGAAGAGGGAAAAGAAGAGACGAAAGGAGGAAGATATAAAGCTAGCCATAAAAAAAATCATAATCAAAAGCGTGTATGCATTGATGATGAAATCCTAGATCCTAAAGATTATCCTGATGATGATGATGATGATAATGACAATAATGAATTTTGGAGAGAAAGAACCATTATTTATTATCTTTATCATTATCAACTGTAAAAGCAATAATGATTGTAGGCAAAGTAATCATCAAATGTCAAACACATGTTGTAATAATCTAAAAATATAATTAAAAAAAATTAATGCGTAATTTTTTTTATTTAAAATAATTATGAACATTAAAAATAATTTAAATAAAACTTTTTTTGCATAATCAATATATTTTAGTATATACAATTTTTGTTAAAGCAACTTTGTATCACGCTTTTTTATTACACAACATGAACTTATTACTGGTAGTCACGGGATTTATGATGCAAAAACGGGAAATCTATTGCGGTTTTCTCTAAAATCACTATTACTATGTCTTGTATTTTAAATTCAGGGAGGCAAAACTACAAATTTTCAGTAAAGCGGCCTATTTATTTTCTTTGGCCACCGAAATTCAGGACCTTAGTTTAAGCAGAGTTTACCAAGATGATTCATGTTGAAAATTTACATCTTATTCATCCCCAACCTGTTATAATAACAATTGACTGTAAAAATTTCTTTTTGCAGTAATATTTGAATTATAATTGTTTAAAAGGCCAATCATTGCTGCATCACTAATACCGTAAGGACTCATTTTTTATCCAGCTAGATTAACGTCCGGAAGTTTTTATTTTTAGAAAAAGAAGATGAAGAAGTTATTTCTTCTTCCATATGCTATTTGGTAAAAAGGGAATATGATTTATCAATTGTAGCTCATGACCCAAGATCTAGTCTTTTTGCTCATTAATTGGATACAGTGATTCACTAATAGTTTGTTTCTAACACTATGGCATGTGATTGAAGTGCATATACATGTGATGGGAAATTCGCTTATTATTCATCACGTTACTATCATCATCACACACAATATTTAAAGTTTTCTTTTAAAAAAAAAATATATATTTAAATAACTGAGAAAGTTTTCATTCAGATGATGTTATTATACAATTAATGTTTTATATTTCTATTTTTTTTTTTTTTTCAAACGTTGTAAACACAATTGTAAATAATAACCAAATTTTTACACACGCATATATTATATTTATACATATTGATTGATAAGGGAAATTTTTCAAAAAACAGTTCTTTCATTTAATTAAATAAAATGTCCAACAGGGAAAAAGTTCAACGACAACATCAGAAAGAAGAAAGTTGTCATAAGGAAGCATGTGCAATCCAAGCCTGTCTTCAAAAAAACAATTATCAAGAGTCAAAATGTCAAGAATCGATTAATCAATTGTATCAATGCTGTGAAAAATTATTGAAATCAGGTGGAGAATCAGCAAGTTGTTCAAAGAAGATAATGAAAAATAAGGATTTTTTGTAATAAAATATATATATATAAACAAACAACAAAAAAAATTTGAGTTTTTTTTATTTATTTTTGGATTACATAATAATTTTTTTAGAGGAGTGAAACACAAAAGGCAAGTTCCACCACATTTTTTTACACATAATAATATACTGTAAGCATTATTAGTAGTTTATGTTTATGATAGTAAAGGCTTACTTAATTAACAACCGTTTAATTGGGTTAATTAGTTGATTAGTTTGTTTTGACTCACAAGCCAAACAACATACACTTGCATCAACGTATGCACATTATATTATGTTAATACATTATTATCTAATCCTAATATTTTTGACGTTTTTTTTTTGGTTTGTAATTTAGAAAATTCATTATTATTTACTTTATTAATTTGGTATTTCATTATTCTCATCTAATTCATTGTTATTACACATGTATATATTAATTAATTTTATGTAATAATATTTAATAGGACTTAGTTTACAAATTTCAATTAATGAATGAATAATAAATTATGAACCAGCATTTTTATTTGTAATCATCATTATCCAGAAATCAGAAATTCAAAAAAAAAAGTGGAGGCATTTCTTTAATTGGAAAAGGTTACTGAAAAGTAACAGTAATTGGATTTTTCATACATACATATACTCACACACACATAAATCGTAATGGCTAAGTTCATTATATGTATGTATTGTATGTAAGTTATGTAAATTTATTGGAAGAACAAACAATCTTAATAATGAATTGGAGGAGTGTGTGATGAATAACATATATATGTTTAGTTGATCAACGCAATTAGCAGCAATTAGCCTTCAGTAAAATTTATCAATTAATTTATAATTCATTCAGTTGATGTTTAACAATTTAAATATAGAATATAGCAGTCATCAGTCAATTAAATTGACCAATTAACCAATTAACCAATATTAACCAATTAACCAATTAACCAACCAACCAATCAACCAATCTATAAATCAGTGTTAAATTTATTATTTTTTTATAATTGTCAAAATTTAATTAGTAAGTCATTTCAATCTGTTGTATCAGAGATTTTTAGTAATATAAAAAAAATTTACATATGCAATTGCATGTATTTTATAGATATATAAAGGGAAGGGCAACACCATTCCTTTTTCCCGCAATTTTTCCTTTTGTAAGGTGACGGTTCTTTATGTGAGTGATGCGAGTGATATGAGTAAATATTTAATTATAACCTTTTGTTTCGATGAGGGTACGCATAATAATAATATGTGGTGTGCGTGCGTAAAAAAATTTTTTTTTCAAGGTTCCACCCAAAAACAAAAAAAAAATTTTTTTTATTAATGATTGTGAGTATATTTTTAAATATGATTGATATATATGATTGATTGATATATGAAAATGGTGGGATGATGAAACGATGTGGTTCGCATTATAAGCAGTAGATAGATGATGAAATAATGATGATACAACGAGTATTATTAATATATAAAGTTCAGCAGGCAATTGCCGAATCTCAAATGCTAAGAACATTATTAATATTATTATTATTTACAATATGTAGATCTTGTACATTATAATAACAATTATGTACAGTGCGTGTTTCCCATTAATTGTTTTTTTTTAATTGTTTTTTTTTATTAATTGTTTATATTTATATTTATATATTGTTTGTATTGTTTAATAATATTTATTTGTCACTCAAACAAGTGGGAATTAGAGTTAATAGCAGAAAAAATTTCATGGTAAATTACAAGTAAATAATAATAACAATCGGATTTATATTTTATTAACAATAACAATAATTATCAACATTGTTGTTGTTGATCTAGGGAGAATTAATTATGGAAGGAATTAAAGGGAAGCGGAAGAAATTGGTAATTAAAGAGAAAAGAACTAGACTAGACTATAATAATTATTCAATGAATATATGTCTACAAATGTCTGCAGTTGTACGGCGAGTCTCAATTTAGCGGTATCTTTTGAATTTCTTCGTTGATATTTAAAAGTAGACTGTAATACATACATGCCCTATGATTTGTTTTTGTCATACAAACAAAAAATATGACCCTAGTAGATGACCATCTAATTTATCTTTTCGATTTTCGATCAATGGATTATTCAAAAAATTTTCAAGAAATCGTCCACTTATTTCTGAAAGCATAAGTAACTATGTCAAAAGTGGTTTTTGACAAAATTTTCAAATAACATGATCAGCAAAGGTATTATATGAAAAACTGCCATAAATATATGACCTTCATATATGTTACAGTCTATTAACTTGATATAGACCGATGATGATAAAAATAAACAATTATTATATTTTTATATTATATTATATATATATATATATATATATATATAGAATGAATAATGAAAAGTGGATCAGCTTAGAAATGTCCGTTATGATGAAAATCGATGTAAATCTTTACCAAAGTAATCAAAAAAAAAAACCAATTTTGTTTTTTACAATTGTCTTTCTTTTATAATCTCAAAAATTCTAATCTGAAAAATTCTAATCTGACTGTGACTATTTTCAAATGCAAAGAGACATGAATCATTCTGACACGAGTTCACCCAAGAACTCACAAACTGGTGTTGGTTACCTTTAAAACCACTAGTAAGACACTGTGCCCAACTCAAACTAGATAATTTAAAGGGATGTGATTTCATCCCTTCATCTTCTAACAACCTCTGCTTGGGAAAGCTCTTAAAATCAAAACTTTATCTCCAATTTGGAGGAAACAGACCATATTAAAATGAATCAGTGCTGCTCGATGGACATATATATAACAAATGTTTATAAATATAAAAACCCAATATATGTTTGTGTGATAATTATAAATAAATCAGAAAATTTTTGAAGATCCTGATCTCAAATTACCCTTTATGGTATTAGAGATGCAGCAGCAAATGATTGATCAAAATTCCAACATACAAATATTGCTGCAAAAAAAGAAAATTTTTAATTAAAATTTAGATCTAAAAAAAGGCAAATCACAGTCAACTATCATTATGGAGGAAAGAATAAGATGCAAATTTTATTCCTTGAAAGAATTAAATCAAATGGGAAGATATTGAATTAAAAAGTATGACTGTAATTTCACCATATGAACTAAAATCATCTTGATGAATTCTGTCTGCTTGTGTATCCCAAAACATTTTAAATTAAGGCTGATACCAAGGTCCTGAATTTTCGGTGGTTTAAGAGAATAGGGGTACTAGCATCATTTCTCTTGATACAGAAGTGAGAACTTTATGGTTAAATGTAACTAAAGTGGTGAGGTTATAGAATGAAAAGAACAGGATCCTGCTCATGATAAAACAAATAAACATAAAAGATCACCAAGCTCACAAGAAAATTTGTAATCTTGTAGATGAATGTCATTAAGTTACTTGCGAATGTAAGGTGGTTATTAGTAAAATGTGTGGATGTTGTGGGCGCATCAAAACAAAATTTGGGTCCCTCAAAGTATATTACGGCCCGATATGTAGATCTAAAGTAATACAACAAAGAGAGACGCAGAAGTAGGCTTTTACTTGGGTATAGGGTTCAAATTTTTTTAATTTTAAATTTTGTGTAATAAAAAAAATGTGATACAAAATTTTTTTAAAAAAATCACACAATATAATAATATAGTATAAATAATAATAATAATATAACATATAATAAATAATATAATATAAAATTAAAATTAATATATAACTACAATATTATTATCAGATCTACAGGAAAAGCACTTACCTCCTCCCCACCTGTTGACTACTAATCACAAATTTTTTTAATTAATTAATTTAATTGTTTATTTATTATCTACTAATAATCTAATAATAACAATATTTTTTATCTTGATAATCTTTTTCTTTATATGCTAAATATAGTTAGAATAAACTAACTGCTAAAGGTAGCTTAACTAGGTAAAATTCATTAATATTAATGAACATTTGGTTAGTAGAGAAGTTTATTTTTATGTTACAGACAAAGAGGGTTTGTTAATGAAATCGGAAATTTAAAATTTAATTTAAGTTTTAAACTCAATTAAAGAGTAAATCATATGTAACATTTATTCAGTAGGGAAATTTTAGAAATCAAACAATATAATAATATAACAAAAATCAAAAGGCCCGATAACACAAACTCGATCGATAATTTATATGACATCACTATTATGGTATTAAACAATTGCTGCTAATTTGATTCCTAAAATTTCTTTGTTCGTTCACTTTATCTTAGTATTTAATGGACAATAGCGTATTGTCTTCGTGTTAATTTAATTTAATTTCTAACCAAATTTAAATAAACCATTCATTATATAATATTATTATTGTTTCACTAAATCTTTATCCTCCCAGAAATGTTTCTTCTAGAACAAACCATATGTGATATAATTGTTATAATATATAATGAGATGATTATAGTATGATGCTAATATATTAATATTATTAGAAAATCTACACGTTACCAAACCATCTTCTCCTCCACACATCAAAAACAAGTCATCTTCACCTTTATCGTAAGCTACGTAATTGATTTTTATAATATCATACGATAATAATTAATCAAAGACAATTTGTTAATTTCCAATTTTGACAATTTTGTTTTGTTTATTTTTTTATTTTAGGTTTATTTATTTTTTTTTATTGTAATTTTTATTGTACATTATTTTTATTTTAAGTTTTATTCAAGTTAAAAAACCTGTTTTAGATGGCTTGAGAGCTATTTGTATTATATAATCATTTTTTTATATAAATAAACATATAAAAATTTTTTTTAAAAAAAAAACTTACAGTTAAGATTTTATGTCGATTTTTTTAACATTTTTTTTTTGAACATTTTATTCGTAATTTAATTAAAATTATCAAATAAATTTTCTTTTCAAAAAACTTTCTTTCCTTCTACTTTATCATTATATTATTCTTTATAAAGGCCCAACATACATACATGTATATGTATATGTATATGTATATATATATATATATATATCAAAAAATAAATATATAAATAATAGTAGTAAAAATAAATAAAAGATTTTAAA